TGTGAGGTGGTTATGATAAGTTGCAATAGTGACAATAATCAACAATAGTGATAGACAATAATATTAATACTAGACAACAATGATAATAATGAAAATAATGTTAAGGAAACACTATAATAACAAATATTTTTATACCTTAAAAATAAAATGTTGTCATAGCAAAAACATAAGATTTTTATTTATCTTTTACCATTTTTTTTATCTTGTCCCATTTTATAAAATATATAACAAGTATATTTTTTCTATATTGTACTATGAATCAATCGGATATCATATATTAAACTTTTCAAAATTAGTTCTTATAACACTAGTTTTAAGAAATATTCGTCTAAATAAAATTGTGACTAAATCCTAAATGCTAAATTCTAAGCTAAATTGTCCTATAATTAACTACTCATTTGCACGATCATCATATCTCTTGATGGAAGGAAAACAAGTGAATTTCTCCTTCAATTTATGGAATCGCTTTCAGTGCTGGCTTGATCATCTTTCATTGGCGACAATTTGTTAACTACTAATGTTTAACAATAGTTTGCAATGTTTTTGAGGTACCTCCATTTGTCAGACATGCATGCAAAAAGCATAAATGCTCAATTGGCAAAATCCAAATTGGTAACCTTCAGCTTTGGTTTAAGATGTTAGTGAAGTCATTATTATTTCTTGGTGTACACACTATCAGTCAATTTCATAACAACTAACATTACATGTCCATGATACCTTTCCAACATATTTGTCCACTGATTGACAAATTAACTTGCACTTGCACAACCACAAATGTCTTTATTGAATAACATTATTTAATTTTCTTCTTAAAAAAATATATATATGTTTATTTTTTGAATGAAAAAAGTGTGCAAGTTTTAGACACTGAAAAACAAAACATATAGGAGGTGACAACTCTTTCAATATTACATATTTATATTTTTGTTGAATAAATGATAACTAATTTCAATCATTTATCAGTTACAGTTAATGAAAACTTTCAAGCAATTATAAGAAGATTAAATAATTCTAAATTTCAATTGCAAAAGGGTTAGATAAATATAAATTCTTTAGAAAACTTAAATCGAAAGATGAAAAAAACACAAAATAATCAATAGAGGAAACTATTTAACCCATAAATTTTACTGACAACTTAATGGATTTGCATTAATTGTATATTTTGTGATGTTAAGTCTTTTACGAAATAAGAATGAGACTAAGAGCCTTAACCTGTCCCTTTCACAATTATTAGCTGAGATCGTTACCTATCTAGTCGCAACACAACCCGATATTTATTACTGTGTAGTGGTGATATTCCGTGTTGAGAATCAGGAGTGCAAAGATATATACGTGTCATTAACACACAAATCACAATGAATGGTAAATATTTATAAAAATTTGTAATAATGGAGCCAACAAAGTAGATCATCTGATCATGGTAATCCATTATTTAATCTAGCCAAATCTAATAGAATCACATGTTAAGTAACTCAAGAAAATAAGTTGGATAAAAAATTTAAATAGAGTAATTTTTCTAAAAAGAATTTTAAATGTTTTCTCCTCCTTTTTCTCTTACATCTCATGTTTTTCTTTCAATGTTAATATATAAAAAAATCAATAATTTTTTTTATTGAATATATAAAAATATTTTTAAATTATTAAATATTATTTAATATTAATTTTTAAAAATACTAAATATTTTAAAAAATGACTAATGTTTAATTTTATAAAATTTAATCTTAAATCAATATTCAAACTAAAAAATTTAAATTTAAGAAATTTAAATTGACTTATTCAAATAAAATATTTAAAAAACGATGAAAATTGATATAAAAAATTTAAATTTTAAAAATTTTAAATTCCTTAAATTTCTAAAATTTGTCATCCAAATATATTATAAGTGATAAAAATTGCTCAAAGTGTAATGTGTAGAAAGTGTTGCATATGTGACATATATATGTATGTTTATTTCAAAAGAAATTTCACATTACTCTTTTTTTTTTAAGATTTAAATCTTTATATATCAAAATGTTCCTTACATTTTTAAAGAGGTAAACAATAGGTGTTGGATTCGTATATATGAAAATAACTCTTGTGAGCTCTTTGTAGTACAAATTTACTAATTTATCTCCTTACGTGTGTAAAAAATAAAATCCAAAAATATTTTTATTTTTAATTATATTAAATTATTTTAATTAATTGAGGCAAACCAAATATAATTTAATTGATTAAGGCAAATTTTATCGAGAATATTTAACTGTTTTAATGTTTCATTTTAAGAATTGATTGAAATTGAATGCTCAAAATTCCATTTAAGCTTCATCAAATATTTTATTTTCTAACAAGCAAGCATATTTATTTAAGTTTAACTGAATTCTTCCTTTATTTTTGAAATTGTTACACGTCTCAAGGAGATTAATTTATCAAACATATTTATTGGGTATTTCAGGTTACCAATGCGTGTCTACCATATACATTAGGAGAATGCAATGCATGAGACTAAAATTGTGATTAAAGGAGAAGCCATATATGGCCATAAGCATGCAACCTTTCATGCATGCGAATAGCCGCATTTGTTTTCATTCTATCTTCGCCGTTCATGTTCCCACAACTTTCTTGCCTGCCACTCCGCTTCATCTTTCTTTCTTTTTTATTATTCTTGGTCAAATTTTCCATTTCTATATTCCATATATCATCAATAAATTAACCTCATCAATACTATTTCTCCTCCACTTATGAACCTATCCATATGACTCGATAAACATAAATCACCTGCACTCCACGCTAAACACTACTCTTGGGATAGTTTGTAATCTAATAGTCAAACTTTTTAAAATATCTCTACTTTTAATATTCATTTTTTTTAACCCTAATGTACGTATTAAATGTTTTTGAATGTGTCCAACTGTCCATGGACACTTCTCAGAAAAATAATTTTAAATTATTTTTTACGGAAATGTTCAATCTTTCTCTTGTATGTATTCAATATTTTTAATGAGTGTCCAACTGTACATGCATGGATAGTACTAAAAAACCGTTTTATTAAACAAAATATAAGTAATGCTATGTCTTCTTTTATCATACTCTTAATAAACCTCTGGTAACTAGACTATGCTTATTATTATTATTATTATTTTTTTCTTCGTTTTATTGCCCATTGAATACTTATCCAGAGATTTGGCTCAGTCACATTTAGGTGCATACAAAAGTGTGACGAAATGAATACACACTAAATTCTCTACTAAAAAAAGTTATTCCTATGAATCAGGGTTATTTAAATATGTTCAACTTAACTTGTTTATTCTCATAATTCGTTCAAACGATTGCGGTGTACTTTTGAATCTAATCCGTATAACCTAGCGATGCCTATAGATTATAAATGATGAGTTGAGTTGATTTGATCCACCACATTAGTTCATTTGAATTGTTTTATATGTTTTTTTTAACTCTTACCTATTAACATTAATTGACTTAGTATTTTATTTTGTGTACTTAATTTATTTTTGTAGAAGAATTTATTTATTGATATATCATGGACTTATTTTAATATTGTTGATAAATTTATTTTATTATTGTTAATGGACTTATTAAATACATATTCATTTGAATATTTAAATCATTATTAGTTTTATAACAGTTTCTCTCTCTCTCTTAATATATTTGAAAAAAATCAAAATTAATAAAATAAAAATAATTTATAATTTTTTAATAGATCAATGGATCAATTTAATCCAATCCAACCCGCAATTCTTCCTTTGAGATTTTCAATCCAATGAAAAAATGAGTCCAATCCAAACTGCTGAGTTTTGGTTTATTTAACGGTCCTACTTTAAATGAACCTCAATATATCCTAGTAGGAAGAAGGTCATTATGCCTTTGAGAAAATGACCTTTTTTAAGTTAATTAATGCGTAGTTTTTCTATTTTTGTAGTTAAGTACAGTTTTTTTATGGTGGTTAATTAAATGATAAAATTGAAAATTAATTTGTCGACACCAAAAAAGAAAAGATATTGCTTCTAAAATAGTATAAATATTAAACTTTTTAAAAATTCTTTATAATTAAAAAGATTAAGCTTTTAGGCTTTTATAAAATTTAGGTATAATAAACCAACCTATTTAAAATATAAAATAATAATATATATTAATTTATAATTAACATTTGAATTTAGTATATAATTATTTATAATAATATATTTAATACACTTAGAATTACAGAGTTATTGATCTTTTAGAAAACATACTACGTAAGTAGTTTTTTAGGTATTAGAGGCCAAATATACATTAAAGAAAAAACCTAGAATAAGTAAATAAGGCTAACTCATACTAAGTAAGTTTGTAGTAGGGCGGGCTCATGCGTGTCAAATCTTGAATTGATTTCACCTTTACCCGCTAGTTGTTTTAAATCCACGATGAGAATCCATTTTTGGTATCAAAAGAATTTTAATTAACTCATACACTCTCTTTACATTCTTTGACAAAAAACAAAATACACGGTAAACTAAACCATTTCATATTTAATAATAAAAGAAGAAGAAAAACGTTAACTTCAGGTCCTTTGGCTCATTAATTTTCCTCTTATAAAAGACAAGCTTTTAAGTTTATCAAAAGGATTGGTCAAAAAAAAGAGTTTTTTATTAGGAAAAAAATGTTTATTACGTTGAAAAAAAAATAATACATGCATTTCTTCTGATAATTATTTTCAATCTTAGATATCAAAACGAACCATAAGAATTAATATCAACAAAAACCTAAATTGGTTCCCTTGATTGAGCTCCTAAAATTATAAATATAAAAGATTTTGGTCCTTTGCATGAGTGAGTGAAAGAAACTACAGTACATTATCGGGGCGTCGCGGCTCAGTGAAACACGTAATGTTTGTGAACACTCCTAACAAACCAAAACCTAAATAAATCAGAAACAGTGGTAGTGGAGCCCACACTGGTTCCGTACTAAGGGCACGACTGAACGTGACTTGAAAATTGAAATAGAGTTACCATATTACCAACTTCACACGTTACCATCTTCTCCAATGGTCTTTATATAAGAGCCCCTAAACACGAACTTCCCTCACCCTGACCCTGCGTAGGAAGGACACCATCGGAAGAATGGAGAGCCAAGATCTTTCGCCACCCCACGTGGACGCATCTCGACCGTCCCTTGGCTTCCCCTTGGGCACTGCCCTTCTCTTGATCATAATCTTCGCCTTAAGTGGCATCCTCTCTTGCTGCTACCACTGGGATAGACTCCGTTCCCTCCGTCACCCCCAAATGCCTTCTTCACCCACCAAATCTAGGCACCCCACCACGGTACAACACACACCCTTTTAAACCCTTTCTCTTTAAATACTTCAATTTTGTTTAAAAATGTAAAATTTAGTAACTTTTTCTTAATTTTCTAACATTGGTCCTAAAATTTTATTTATTTATTTATTTATAGGATTTGAGGCAAAACAGCTTGCCAGTGTTGATGCCGGGGGACGAGGTGCCGAAGTTCATAGCCATGCCGTGTCCGTGTCAGCCTTTGAGACCGGACAACATCGTTGTCACCGTCGAAACGGAGAAGCCGCCGCCGAAGCCGCCGCAACTTCCAGTTCCTTTCTATTTGTAAAATGGGTCAGATTCGAGATTCGAGGTTCTTCTCCCAAGCTGCGATTCTCGCCACACCAAACGTCGTCACGTGTTCCTCGTTGCCACCATTTGTTGTACCAATGTGTATATTCATTGTTCTCCCAGAAAAAAAAAAAAAAAAAAAAAAAAA